CCTGTAGCGCCTCATGACCCGGCTGGGAGCGCTCCGAGCCATATTGTTGGTGCCCACATGGATGAGGAGCATGGGATAGTGCTCTGTGGGCTGGAGGAGCTTGGGGATTCTCTCCACAATGTCTGGGATGTGGGCTTCCGGGAAGCAGCAGACTTCCCAGGCTAAGGGGTGGGGGTGGCAGGTTACCACCTCAGTCCCCCTCAGGATGGAGTCTCCCACAACAAACACCTTATGTTTTGCCTTGGGCAGAGCGGCGGCGATAGCTGCAGTTGAGCCTGTGTTGCCTGTGGGAGCTGGCAACTCAGCAGGCTCTGCTGGAGCAGCAAGAGGTGCATGCCTGTTGCTAAGATCCGGCGGGGCAGGGGCCTTGGTGCAGTGGGCCCAAGTCCACTAATTTTACAGTGAGCAGCTTCTCACTCCACTTTGAAGGCAGGAAAACATGGTCCTTGATGTCCTGTGATGGTCTTCTCAATATTTGTTTTATCATTTAATGAAGATTAGAATATAAACATAGTCATAGAGAAATAGGGCTGGAAGGGACCACCAGAGGTGATCTACTCCAGCCTGCTGCCTGAGGTAGGTTCATCCCTGTCCATACCATCCTATACAAACCCACAGTCCTCCTAGCAAAATTACAGTCAACCCTGACACAATACAAGACATAACACCCTAATCTGCCACAGGTAAAGCAAGAGGACAAGAGCAGCCAACATCCTGCTGCTGCAAAGGTGGTTAAAATATGCTTGAGAGATCCCAGAAAGCCATACCCCTGCTAAAGAGGAAGGCAAAATCCTCAATGGTTTATACCATTCTAATCATGGGATAAAATTCCTTCCTGACCCCAAATATGGCAGTTGTTCTGACCTTGAGCAGAGGGGCAAGACCCTCTAACCAGATACCTCCAGGTTTAAGTCCCAGCAGGTGGACTGGTGTATCCCAGTCAAAATCACAAGCCTTGGCTGCAGCCAACACCCACTGCCTCTGTGGAAGGATTAAAAAAACCCAAAAATTGACAGCAGTAGGAGGGGAAAAGTATCTCCTGGTGCCATGTGGCAAAAATGGAAAGGAATACTCCTTATTTTTATTTGAATATGGGTCCATTGATGTTTTACTGTTCTTCCAGTACCCTACTCTCACTCCAGATCCAGTGAACTCACTTCTAATGACTACATTTTGCTAGCTGCTGACCCTCAGATGGATTCTGAGAACGAAGAAAGGTTTGAAGACCCAGTCCCACCAAAATGAAATGCTCACAACATAAGACTATCTAAGTCTTAACAGAAAATTAAGTACAGAAGAGATATAAATGGCTAAACACTACAGATAAGGCATACCATGCAAATGATTAAAATGCAGATGAAAATGCATATTTTCTAAAGCCCTAACAATCTTATCAATATTTGAAAGCAATTTCATCTTAACGTTTTCAAGTCCTAAAGTCTTAAAAAGTCTCTTAACTGGTAGCTAGCCTCTTAGGGAAAATACCTTCTTACCTAGGTTTCAAAAACTTAAGTTGCTAAATAGCACTAACCAGGTACATGTGCAAGTGGGCAATTCAGCAAGAACTATAGTTCAAGACTGAAGAGCAAAAATCCTAAATTGGACCTGGTTTCTATTGGTTGGCTAAAATATCAAAAAGCTTATTAAATCAGGCCAAAGAATATAAAAGTGATCTACATAGGTGGCTATCTTATTAGTATTCATATATTGATTCTTATTCCCTATATAAACTATAGTTCATCTATAATTAGCTTTGTTTATCATCAAGCCACCAAATGTACTCAAGGCAACCTTACAACCTTTACCCTAGCTTTTCTTTTCAGTTCATCTTTCTTCAATTTTCTAAAGTGGTTCATACTGACATTCTCTTGCAAGAACATTTCCTTTGCCTGTTTTTCTTTTAACCAAATTATGACCAAGCAAATACAACTCTATGCTATGCTATTCTATCATGAAACATCTTAAAGAATACTATAGTCTACACAGGTGACCTCCCCATGGCAGAGGGGCTGTGTGTGCAAATACTGACCTCCTGTGCAGAGTATATCTGAGTGTTTACACACCTCTATAAAGACCTTTCATTCTAAAGCTGAAAATGTGGCACTGCCATCTTTTTTTCCTGGCTTTGGAGGACAGGTGGAAGAGAAAAACTTACCTCATAACAACAAATGAGTTTTGATGGGTAAGTAATTTACTCATTTAAAACTGGTATATTTAATGGAAATACTAAGCAGCTCTTTAACCCTAACAGCATTAGCAGCTACCAAATCATGTCATATCCCAATGAGCAAGGAAGAGCTAGTCTGTTTTCAGTGTCACTAAAAAGATAGCTGGATAGACCTTAATTGCTACATTGCAGACTCCCAAGTCATTGGTGTGCTTAAGATCAAATATAAACATTTGTACATTTCCTGATCTGTAACTACTGTACTCTCAAAACAAAACAGCAAAAGGATACATTGCTTACAATTTTAATGGAAAAATATGTAACCCTGGGCATGACACTGCCTGTGCCTTCACCTGAAGAGTGGGATTCTGGGGTAGCCAGTGGCCCTGCCCAGCTCCCCGGGTAGCTGCTGCAGGGTCCCTAGGTGGAGAGCATCTTCTTACGATCAAACAACCTTGCAGACTTATAAAACTATTTACAGGATTTTATTATTTAGAAGATAATATATAACCAATGCAATAAAACAAATGTTATACCACATGTCCTGGTGATGGTGGCTTAAGGGTTAATGCTTCTTGGATATACTTTTACATTAGGGGAAAGTATGCAAATTACCCATGATAAATAAGGAACCAATACATAGATACTCCAGCTAATAAACCATTGAGAACTTATTTACACAGTCTATGAGTTGTACACTGTGTACTGAAGACCCTGGTGGGGTGTCTCAGGAAGCAGGACTGTCTCTGTCCCTGCACAGGATCTGTGGGTGGTCCCTGGTGCTGGTGTCCAGCTTCAGGGATCTTGGTGCAGCAGGTGGTGGTTCCTCCCCTGTAGTCTCCAGCCACACAGGGG